GTGGAGAACTTGCGATCGCTCCACCTTAAAACATTAGTTATTTAAATCAACTTTTAAGCCGGCAATGGTATCATCGATGGGTGTGAGAAAAATAACAGAGGAGTATCAGAATAGCAGCCGTTCAGCACAAAAAAGTAATCTGCAGCCATCGCAAAATTTTTTCTCACTCTTTTGCTCATTCACTTATAACTCTCTTTCTTTCTGTTCTCCATCTTGCAAATTAGTTACATGACTGTTCAAAACATGGCGAGTGGGAGGTTGTATTGACGATTCCCACTCCTACTCGTATGCATAGTTCGGTCTGTGTATACAGTTAAGGGATGAAACACAGACTTACGAGATAGTAAAATGTCCTTCGGCACATGACACTTAAGACCAGTCCTTCCATCCTACTATTTCAAATTATAACATTAAGAAAAATGTTAAGATTTCGAACCGTAGTAGAAGCTGTCCTGTCAGATTTAGTGACAAATAACGCTAATTCCAGAGCTAAATAACGGGTGAAACAATTTCTTAGCAATTCGTGGCAAAGTAGTAATGGCATGGGTCATGAAGTCGAAGTCGCCTTCAGCTTCCCTCTAGAACTAGACGTATGCAGAAGATCTGAACAATAAGTGATTCGAACCATTCTTTAATACCTCGTCTTCTCACAAAGACTCAAAAATGTTGGAAGTTTTGGTTGTTGAGCGTGGCGCTGCTCTTAAAAAACGAATGTAATCAAAAGGCTAACACCCATTGTATTAGTTCCATTAATGTATTCCAATCAGCCGTATCCAAATACAGTTGAAGAACTGATTCAAATATCTGCCTCGAAATATTTTGCAGGCCTTTTGTCCGGAGAAGTTCATGGACTTCATCTACGTTCTGTAAAAATTACAAAAAATTTGTTTTCTGCAAAAAAAAAAAAAAATTAAAAACCAGCAAAAATCAAATCAAAATAACTGCTGGAATAGCAGCCTAAAACAGTTTATAACAGTTCCGCCCGGTTCTTAAACGCTTCGAGGGTTTCTTGTGTTTGTCTTCGAACTACTATGCTTATAACATATCACTCACAAGTACAAGGGTCTATTGTTGGGGGATTTCAGTTCTGGCCTAAAATCTCTCGTCAACGGAATTACTTTATACGCCCGAAAATTTCAAGGCGCAGTGATTTAACTTAATTATTAGCCTAACGTTTGTCTAAAAATAACATTAGTAAGATACGTCTTTGAAGAAACAATTAATGGCAGCACGTTCCAAACTGTTCAGTTCGAAAAAAATTCTAAATTTATACAAGAAGTTATATTTATACAAGAACTTTGAAAAATTTAGAAATTAACTGGAAATCAGAATTCCTCTTCGTTTCACTCGCCCTCAAAAAAAAAAAACGAATTCGAAACTAATTCAAGAGCTCTCATACAAAAACGATAAGCATCCACTGATAAGGCTACTGACGGCACGCTCTTCGAGGAGGGGATGTTTCAGAAGCCGGCTCGACTTCTTGTCCCCGTAAATGTACTAGTATAGACAAATTCAACATCAGAACAAACCAGAGAGGCGATGATGTGCCAGCCAGAGAGGTGAAGATGGTTTTCTCGTTAGTAAACTTGGAATAATGGCTCAGGCGTGAGAAGAGGAAATAATGGCAGAAAAGGAGACAGAGGTATGTGCATTTTTACAGCAAACGCGCTAGCTTCGGACATCAACATCAACGAAATTAAATTTTTTGAATAATGCCCTACAAGGGATCAAGTAAAAGATGAAGAAGCGGAATAGATTGTTACTGTGTACGGCATCTTCGCTCAAAAACGTCAATTGCCAGCTCTTCTAAAGATAAGTGGATTTTCTCTTCGTTAACAGCAAGTAAAGCTAATCAAGTGTAATTCTGATTTCCTTAAGAAGAAAACCTCAAAAATTGGGCGAAATGATAAAATACTTTAGCTGAGACGTGTTTGGTGAGGAGATCCAGAAATAGCGCATCATTCACTGGTTCTGACTGGTTTTTGCTAGCGGTCCGTTTTTTCAACCGTCTAAAACACAAAATATTGTTAATGAATGGCGAAAACAAAGGCAAAGGTACATTGCAACTAGCCGTGGATATAACAATAATGGTAAAGTACCCGTTCAAATGGCTCTCCCTAGCAGTAACAGAATCCATAAGTTTGTGAGCAATGTCTTCGGGAACATTATGATCGAGGAGCCGATCAATAACACGAGAAAGCTGCTCGGTATCTGCTTTTGATAAATCTGTTGTGCTACCACCATCAATTTCTGAAGAAATGAGAAAAATGAGGCACTGCACGCGCATAACATGTTCAGAAATCCGAAATTTGTCTTCAGTTTCTGTCTCTTGAACGTTTCTAAACGGTAAACGCACCAAACAAAGGCTGTAGCAACAGAGACCTGACAATACCATAGTTCAGATAATGCACATCTTTGTAGCCAGCCTCCAGAAACTTCGTTAAAACGCTGAGCCTTTCGTGGACATCTAACTCCCTATAACATTCTTATCGAAAAGTCTTGATATGAAATTTTTTGCTGTTGACTGAATTAGATTTAATAAAAAAAGAGAAAGGCATGGCGTGAAATTATCCTGACAATTTGAACGTCTTGATATTTTAATTGAAAGCTGCAACGGGTATGTAATGGACAAAAGACGAAAAAGACATTAAGTTGAGAGCGAAAGAAATGAGAAAACTGCATGAAAGCTGTGATGTCACTGATTATTGAGTTCTGAAGCCCAAGAAACTTTCCGGAGTTGTTGTAAAAGTGAGAGAGAGAGGCAAAAATGCTTTTGCAAAAATTTGCATAACGCATGAGAAAATGATAAGAGCAAACACAAGCTAAAAAAATGCAAGAGCTGTGAAACATACCGTACTAGCAATGGCAAGATGGTATGGATTTTTGTGCGCATCGGATCCAACACCTTCAAAAGTTCCAGCGTAACCAGCAATCTTTTTTCAGTTGAGCAAAATCGATAAGTCAGAATGCAAAATAAAATACGCTCCAGCAAAAAATTCCTAAAATTTTCAAATGCAACAATTGCATTAACAGTTTAACCACGGTGTAGCTGGTAGAATGAGGGCTCTGATGACGTTTACGATTTTATATGCAAGAGAACTGAAAGCTTTGCAATCAAAAATGCCAATTTTCAATTTCTGGATTTTGGACATGATATTTTCTGGATATGGAACCAACAACCCCTGGTAAGATTTTACATCAACTTT